AACGACACACACACACACACACACACACACACACACACACACACACACACACACACTTACCATGTCTGCAGAGCGGCTGAAGCACAAGCTGGTTGAGGAGTCCAAGTGCGTGGATATTGTGGCGGGGCCAGACGCATATCGGGAGCTGCCAACTATGCTCTCCCGTGCAGCCGCCGGCGACACCCAGGTGTGTGTGTGTGTGTGTGCGTGCGTTGTGTGTGTGTGTGTGTGTGTGTGTGTGTGTGTGTGTGTGTGTGTGTGTGTGTGTGTGTGTGTGTGTGTGTGTGTGTGTGTGTGTGTGTGTGTGTGTGTGTGCAGATTTGGGGATGAAGTGGCAGCTGCCGCCGCCGCCGCTGTAACAACAACAGCAGCCGCAAAGGGTTACCCAAGATGGCCAGCGTTGACACCACTGACCACCACTACTGACCACCGCCATCACCATCGCGTGCAGGTGAATGTGCTGCTGTCGCTTGAGGAGACGTATGCGGACCTTACGCCCGTCCGCCACAACCCGAACTCTCCGTCTGCTTTCGTCTCCATCCAGCGTGGCTGCGACAACATGTGCAGCTACTGCATCGTTCCCTTCACAAGAGGTGCGTGCCCTGCGTGCTGTGTGTGTGTGTGTGTGATGGTGCATGCATGCCTCCGTCTTCACACACAACGAGTTCCTTTCATGCCACGATAGCACATATCATCGCTCACGCCCCCTGGCTTCCTCCTCTTCTATCATCCAACCAACCAACCCACAAACAATTCATCCACGAACGAACGAACGAACCATCCATCCATCCATCCGTGGTCCCCTCAGGCCGTGAGCGCAGCCGCCCCGTGAGCGCCATCCTGCGAGAGGTGCAGCAGCTGAGCGAGCAGGGCGTGAAGGAGGTCACCTTGCTTGGTCAGAACGTCAACAGCTATCTCGATCACTCCCAAATCTCCGTCGCCACCGCTGCGCCCGTCGTCAACACGTACGTGTGTGTGTGTGTGTGTGTGTGTGTGTGTGTGTGTCTATATGTGTGTTTGTTTGCGATTGTGTGCGTGTGTGCGTGTGTGTGTGTCTGTGTGTCTGTGTGTGTTTGGCTGAGGCGATTGAAGGGCGCCTACTGCTGTCGTTCGGAATCGTTCCATTCTGGCGGCCCAACACCATACCCTGCTCATCTCCACCACCACCACCACCACCGCTGTGATTGCGACTCCTGCAGCCCGGGCTTCAAGACGATTTACAAACGGAAGAAAGATGGCATCACCTTCGCACAGCTGCTCGAGCAGGTGCGTACTCGTGATCGTGATCGTGATTGTGTGTGTGTGTTTGTTTGTGTGTGATTATGTGTGTGTGTGTGTGTGATTTTGTGTGTGATTGTGTGTGTGTGTGATTGTGTGTTGGTTTGGTGGTCGTCGTGCTTCAATTGTCCTGACTCACGGCCACATCTGACCAGCTGAACACGTGTGCAACCACCACCACCACCACCACCACCACCACCACCACCACCACCACCACCACCACCACCATTGGTGCGGCCGTTGACAGGTTGCGCAAGTTGACCCGGAGATGCGCATTCGATTTACGTCCCCGCACCCAAAGGACTTCCCTGACGAGGTCGCCACGGCATTTTGATATTGGTGGTGGTGGTGGTGGTGTTGGTATTCGTGATTGGCACCTGGACAACACAGTTTTGCTCTAGGGCGGTGCATCCTGGCCGTGCACTGTACTCACTGAACACATGTTCCCTTCCACTCTCGAATCCCCCTTTCCGCACCATCATCATCGGCGTCATCATGGCGACTGCTGCACTGCAGGTTCTGCATGTCATCCGCGATCACCACAACGTCTGCAACCAGATTCATCTTCCTGCACAGAGCGGCAGCGACGCCGTCCTTGACCGCATGCGAAGGGGGTATGTCATGTGTGCAGTGTGTGCGTGCGTGCGTGTGTGTATGTGTGTGTGCAGTGTGTGCATGCGTGCGTGTGTGTATGTGTGTGTGTGTGTGTGTGCGTGGTTGTGTGTGTGTGTGTCTTGCGCCGGTCACGTACAGGTGTTTGAGCGCGAGCATGCGTGAATGACGCACAGCCTCACACAAGTGTGCGTGTGCCGTTATCACTGCATCTCTTCATCTTGCATCAATCAGATACACCCACGCCGCGTACTGCGAACTCGTTGACCGCATTCATGACCTCATTCCAGGTGTGCGCGTGTGTGTGCGTGCGTGTGCGCGTGTGCGCGTGTGCGCGTGTGCGTGTCGTGAGTGAGTGTGTGTGTGTGTGCGTGTCGTGAGTTAGTGTGTGTGTGTGTGTGTCCTCTTCTCTGCCAATGGCTCTGACTGCGTTCCTTTCGTTCTTGCATCTTTCTGGCGTGCGAATGTTTCCGCTCAATTCCCCTTCTTGTTGGTTTCGTCTCACGACTCCTGGACAGATGTGACGCTCTCCTCGGACTTTATTTCCGGGTTCTGCGGCGAAACGGAGGTGCGCAGTCACATCATGATGTAATTCACGTGTACGAGGGTCCTGCTTGCTCGTTGTGATGTGACGCTCAGTTCCCTTCTCTTTCAATTGTTCCATCTCCACCATTCCCATCGCTGTGGCGGACAGGCGGACCACCTGGACACCCTCCGGCTCCTGGAATACGTCAAGTACGACATGGCGTACCTCTTCGCATACAGGTAGAGAGAGAGAGTGTGTGTGTGTGTGTGTCTGGGAGTGAGTGTGCGTGTGTGCGTGTAGGTGTGTGCGTGAGTGCGTGTAGATGTGTGTGTGTGTGTGTGTGACACTACAATGTGTCCTTCAAGCGCTCTTCACCACACAACATGATTTGTTCACATCAACCACGCACGCGATAGTCAACCGTTCATTTCACCTCCCCCCTCAAACACATCACCACCACCGCCGCCATCATCACCACTGCCAGCCTGCGTGAGAAGACGCACGCGCACAGGCGGCTGCAGGACGATGTGCCGGAGGATGTCAAACTCGCGCGCTTGAACGATCTCATCCAACTCTTCCACAAGCACGCAAAGAACAACAACGCACAGAGGTGTGTGAGGCTGGTGTGTGGCTCTCTGTCTTGCTTTGTTGGCCTCTTGTGGTGGTGTTTGCGTTCCCTCTTCTAGTGTCTCTGTCACACACACACACACACACACCACACACACACACACACACAACACACACACACACACACATTCACATGCACTGCGGCAGACACGGTTCCGTGCAGACGGTCCTCATTGAGTCAGCGAGGTGTGTTGATGCCAGCAGTAGACCAAGCGAGTGTCATGTTCTGGCACTTGTTTTGTGCTTCGGCATGACTTGCGTGTGTGTGTGCCTGAGGTTGTGCTGGTTCTTTCGTACACAGCCTTCCACTCGCCCTACGTTCCACTCACCAACCGCCAAACACACACGCCCCACCTGCCTCACCTGCTTCACCTGCCATCAAACATCCGCTCCCCCCCCCGTCCCTTCCCCGTGCGCGCAGCAAGCGGTCTGAGGATGAGCTGGTGGGCCGGAGCGACGGCAACCTCAAGGTCATTGTGCCAAAGACATTCACAGACGCGCGCACCGCCAAGCAGACCACCCTCCGCACGGGCGACTACGTCTTGGTCAGTCGTGGCGTCATTAACATTGTGTATGTATGTATGTGTATGTGTGTGTGTGTGTTGCGTGTTGGTTGTCCGTTGTGCATATCTTTTGTTGTTTATCAGCAAAGATACAAACAAACAGCACATGGCACACACATACCCCCCCCCCCACACACACATGGCACACCACCTCACACCACCACTCGGTGCAACCGCGCATTCGCACGCTCTCTCAACTTGTACGTTCTCCCGACATACTCTCTCGCTGCAAAACAAACGCGCGCATCACAACTCACAACGACAGGTTGAAGTGAACGACTCCACGTCAATGTCGCTGCGGGGAACGCCAATGATGCTCACGAGCCTCGTGCGCAGCGCAGAGGACACCCAATATGAGCAGCAGCTGCAGCAGCACCTCACGCCTCGCGCTTCAGGGGCCGCTCCTGTTCAGCACCATGCCATGTAGATATCGCACCACCATTGAATCGTTTCACATACACACACCACATCACATGCACAATTACATCACATGCACAATTACATCATATAACACCCGCACGAACATGAGAACTCGGCATAAGTACACAGAGATTTGGCAATGATAGCAAGTAGGATTGAAGGGATACGCGTAACGCTGCGACAATATGGGGCAATGAAATCCCACACACATATGGACATGCAGAAACAATCAAGCACAGACACAACCACGTCGACAACCACACACACGCACAGGCACAAGCACGCACAAGCACGCACAGGCACAAGCACGCACAGGCACAAGCACGCACAGGCACACAGACACGCGACAGGCACAAACACATACACGCATCTGACTGACCATGCGTCGCTCAGAGATGATGTAGGCGGGAATGCACACTGTTGCGATGACGGCTGCGGCAATGATGGTGTTGGCCTTCCAGTTCTTGGGTGCAGGCCACCAGCCACCGGCAGGGGACCACACCTTGGTCGGGTAAGGAAACTTTTGAACGCCACCCTGCACAACAGCATGGACATTCAGCGTTGGGCGTTGGGTGAGGCAGTTGGGTCAGTTGCAGCAGTTGCAGCAGTTGGTGGTTCGATGGAAGAGGGGGGTGTGCACAGATGGAGGCGAATGCAGACGAGAACACACACACAGAGAGAGAGAGAGAGAGAGAGAGAGAGAGAGAGAGAGAGAGAGAGAGAGAGAGAGAGAGAGAGAGAGAGAGAGAGAGAGAGAGAGAGAGAGAGAGAGAG